AATAAAAAAGAAGGAGAAAAAGGGGTGAAAAATATGACCGACATCAAAAAATAGATAAATAAAAAAATAATTATAATAATAAGTAAGATAAAAATGAAAATTTTATTAAAAAGTTGGTTAAGGAGAAAAAAAGAAAATAAAGTTATCTATCCGTATTCAATATTGCAATACGAATATAGGCTTCTGCAATATAAGAAAAATTAAATCTTATTCATATAATTCTAATTGAATTCAATTAATCTTTAATCTATTATTGTTCTTCTTATTATTATAATTATGATTATTATCATTTATCATCATCATTATTATTATCATTATTATTATCAGTCTTACTGTTATTATCATTACTATTATTAATGACACTATTATCCTTATCATCATCATTGCAATTATCATTACTGTTATTAACAATATTATATTATATTATATATCATATTATTGCCGTTATAGTTTTATTATAATCATTATCACTATTTTTATTATCATTATCATTATCATCATTATTATTATTATTATTATTATTATTATTATTATTATTATTATTATATTATTATTATTATTATTATCATGATGATGATGATGATTATTACCATTCCTGTTTTATAATCATCACAATGTTTATTAACAATATAATTACTATCATGATAATCTAGGTGATGATAATTATCAACCTCATTTCATTATTTTTGGTAAGGATAAAAGTGCATATGTAATCAGACCTATGGATACTAATTAATAAAATTGACACAAGGGAATGAGTTATCGTGGCATTATAGAGAGAACTAATGGTCATGAATACTGCACTCGTGAATTATATACATTGCAATCCATAAATAAATTGCAGATTGTAATTGACAAGGGAATGTTGGGTGATTCGACCAGTCATCGTGATTAATTTTTAATTAGGGTTTGTCTGCAACAGATGATTATTGACAGCGCATTACCAAGATGTTTATTGTTTAATTATTGATGTTATTGCAGATATGTTTTATAGGTATTACGTGTGTTATATGTCTATATGAGTGTGTATATATGTTTGGGTATATATGCATATTATATATATATATATATATATATATATATATATATATATATTATATATATATGTGTGTGTGTGTGTGTGTGTGTGTGTGTGTGTGTGTGTGTGTGTGTGTGTGTGTGTGTGTGTGTGTGCGTATGTGTGTGTGTGTGTGTGTGCGTGTCTGTGTGCGTATGTGTGTGTATTTATGTGTATGTATACATTTATTCATAATGAATATATGTGTGTGTGTGTGTGTGTATGTGTGTGTGTGTGTGTGTGTGTGTGTGTGTGCACATTCTTCTATGTATATATTTGTGTTCGACTCTCCAATTTATGTATTCCATTCTTTTTCAAATGGAATGTGAATTTGCCTGCTTCGATGTCATTTTGCAAATCAATATTTTACTGAATTATATGTGTCAATCTCTAGAAAAGTAACAAAATAAACAGATAAATGAAGGAGAAAAAAAAAATTAATTAGAATTTCATGTAATTCAAGCAGAGATTAATGAAAATATATGAATATGTAATATTCTTATAATTTAACTTTTTTACTTTGGCTTTAATTTCTTGTTTGGTTATTGTTAAGAAATTTATTCATTTTTTGTTTATTATAAAGAAATTTATTGATTTATTTATTTTATTGGTTTATTATCAAGAAATTGATTTATTTCATTTCTAATTAATATGTATATATATTTTTATTCCCATTCGTTTTTGCTTCTATGAAGAAATTCAATTATATAATCCATTATTATCAAGAAATGTCCATAACTGGTACAAGATTCCACTATATGATAACAACGCAAAACTGAAATTTCACTATATGATGTTTGTTTAAAGATAACACCAGCTTTAACGTAATTCGTCACAAACAAATAAAGACAAATGAATTAATGTTGGATTAACCGTGAGAGCTAGTGTCAGTATCTGATACGGCACTTAAAAAAAGATAAAGATAAGAGCCAAATCAGGGTGAGTACAGGTAGTCCTCAGTCCATATCTTTATATTCGGTATTTAGTGACCAAGGAACACGGGATAAAATGTTAAAGAAAAGAATAGATAAATAGATGTATATAAATGAATTCCGTTAGTTGTTAAGTACAAGAACCAGGGAATTCCTATATAATTATTTCTATTATCTTTACTAGTAGCTATAAAGTTGTATATAATTTTGCCAAGTGTATGTCTTTCTCCGTAAAAGAAAAAGGCGATATGGATAACGCAATCGTAGAAAAATGTAAAAAAAAAAGTCTTAGGATATTACAACCCAGGTTTCAGTGTTGACCCATAGTAGACAATTTTTTTTTTTTTTTTTTTTGCATGCCTTTGTTTCTGTTATACAAAGAAACGATCGTTGGAATGATTTTTTCATGTGCTTTTTTGCTGTATTTATATTGTAAGTTTGTATGCCTAAGATTTTTCTAATTATATCTATTCCATTATTACTATCTTAAAGTAATATGACAGACTATATGCTGTTACTCTTCTATTACCAAATAAGTAGTATTTTCTGGATTTCTAATTGTATATTCATTTGCAAATGCCTTGTTGCAAACATGTTCATATCTCTGATGTTATTTCTACGATGTATGTTACTTTTTTCTCATTATTTTCAGGATATGAGTAATATTGTGCAACCCCTGCTTGTCAATGTTTCTCTTTTACCTCGCCTTAATAATTGGATGAAAACCTTTTTTTTCTTTTACCCCATCATTTCTCGAAACAAACGAACGAGTCTCCCCCTCGATGGGCGATACTGACCCATTTTCTATGTTGCTACTGTACAGTTCCTGCACATTCGCCTGCCCAGGAAGCTGAAGAAGGGCAAGTCTGTGTGTCTTGGGCCTCCTGAACTCTCTGAGCTACAGCATCTTCAAAAACACTTGTTCCAAATGAATGTAATACAGCCAACTGAAGCGTGATATCCAAGTCCTCCTTTTTTCTATCATTTGACTTTTGGTTTATATCACCGCCATTTTGGTCACAGCCGCAGTCAGCTGAAGCATCCTTTCCCTCCCTCTGTCTCTCTCTCTCTCTCTCTCTTTAAAAATTAAAACTTGGAGTCGTGGGTAAAAGAAAAGTTTGTCTCCACTTAGCGGCTAAGCGTGTTGGAACCCCTCACCTTCCTGGTTGATTCTGGGTCACCGCCTCGTAGATGGAAGTAGCCTGCTTTGGTATATTTGCTGAATATCCATTAAATATAATGCACGTAGTATTGCCACTGCTCTCTTTCTTCCAAATCCAAAGTAAAGTACATGGATTAAAGATAAATGACGAAAACAGATGAACGCAGGAGTACCTTGGGCTCACGAAATTACACAAAAATGTCAGCTGTTGGCTCGTCTGCAGATTGTGATGTTGTGGAATCGAAATTCACTCCGTGGTTATGCGCACATGACGTTCTAGCCATCGTCAAAAAGGTGACATAGAAACAGCTGTACTTCTATACGGATATTTCTTCCTTCTATTTTGACTGATCACTTTCTGAATATAGCAGACTCATATCCATATTCTAAATATATATATATATATATATCATTATATATATATATATCATATGACATATATATGTGTACATGTATAAATGTGTGCATAGTGTGTGTATGTGTGTCGTTAATGTATGTGTCGGTGTATCCTGTGCGTGAATAGTGTAAAATTGTGTGTGTGTGTGTGTGTGTCGTGTGTGTGTGTTGTGTGTGAGTGTGTG